CTAAGATGACTGCTTGAAATCCTGTGTGATAGCTGCGCTTTCTACATCCCTTTTTCGTCGTAGTTTAATGAGAGCGTTAGAAGCTAAAAAGGATACGCGAAACTCGAGTGCGTGTCAGCAGATCGACAATGTTGCCACTCTCTTAAATTCCGGATACTGTACGACGTATTCACGGAAGATGAAATTTTATTTGTGCTTTTTTATTAAATCTGTTTGAAAAGCACTCGTCGACAGTCTTATTTCACCTTTCAATGGCAAACATCAACGACTTTCAAGCACACGTTTGTAATGTTTTTTTATGCTACATCAGTGGCCGCCCACTAGGAGATGACCGGTGACCGTCAGTGCCTATTCAACATGTGGCGAAGAATTGGGCAGCTTGTCTACCATGGGCCCATTCCTTTTAAACCACTGGTCACAAGCTTTACTTTCCTTGACGTAATTAGTACGAACGTGACTGGCGCTCAAATAGACACCTGCGGCTGAGTTCACGTGACTTGCGTAAGTATGCGCGTACGCACGTATGCGGACACGTAGGCTACACGCAATGCAATATCTGAGAACAAAAAAATCACCACCCAGTCACTTTGTACAACCATGGGCGAAGCAGTTATGTGCATTCCCAGTGTTTACTACGGGTAGGGATCTATCGCAGGGTGTTGTAACTTTTTATTTTTCTATCACTACATTTGAGATGTGCGTGCTTCGAACTTTAAGTTCTGTGACGCTAGCTCAATAGATATTAAGGACACCTTTAGAGAGGTTTTTATGGGCCACGACTGGGTATCATCCCTAGCTATATATGCTGGCGAAACATGACGCTCGAGAAACTAGTGCAAGTGCAGGCACACTTCAAGGTGGCGTATCTAGCATTGCCTTTTCATTATAGTTTCCGGGATCTCGCGGATTGAAGGAAAGTCCACATTTCCCACCTACAATGATACAGAGCTTCGCATTCATAACACGGGAAACAAGAACGAAGCGAATAGCAAGCGTTGCGGGAAGGAAGCATTTGTCCTTTGCAAAAGCATGCCGCTGAATATTGGTAGCTCAATCCCCAATGGCTGAAGGCTGCACACGGTTCCTCGAGGCACCGTAGGGCGACTGGTAACGACTAGGGACGCGCAGCACTGCTTCCCACGCACAGGCGAGCGAACTACGCGTCGTCCTTACAAGTTGAGGAAGTCGGAAGAACGATCGCAAATAAATGTGTGTCTGTGCGTCGACTCGTCCGGCCTCTCGGATTGCCATCTGCTCCTCGGGTAAAAAGGTGAAAGCACTCGCGTCTTCGGCAAACTCTGCCGGAAGACGGCAATGTAACAAACAAAAAAGAAACACGCAAATGATGCGAAGGAAAGAAATCTGTTGACTGGACAAACAAAAAGGGTCGCATGGTGTTTGTCCAGCGCGCTTGTATTTTTGTCCCATATTCGTAGATGCCAGCGCATAAGGTCCGCCGGCCATAAACGCTCTCCTCGTGATTCTCCCCCGTTCGAAAGTTTGGAAACAGACAATATTTTCGCAGCAGCTTTTCTCATATCGAAGCTGTTGGAGGACGGACATTGACGCCGAATGGCAGAGCCGCCGGAGAAGCTAAATATGAACGTATTTTTGATGGCGCGATGTATAGAACACTTTTTGAATAAACACTGGAAGTAGGTTGTCAAATATTTTAGAAAATTGATAGACTTGTGTTTTCATTCATATCAATCACATTAGGATTAAGTGAAAGTTAAGTCACAGGCAATTTAATTGTGAAGTTTGTCTCTCTTGTCATTTCCTTGCAAATATTTAAAGAAATTTGTGTGCATGGTTGAGTAGCGATAGTTTCTGGCGCGAAATATACACACCATTTCTAATGCTTAGATTATTTAGACGTTAAGCCAACGCGCCCACTCTTTGCTACTTTATGGGCATAGAAAACATTTGACGGGAGCACGAAAACACGGCCCCGGTTACTCGCCTCAGGGAAAGCAACGTATGCATACATTGACCAATGGCGGAAGTGGAATGTTGCGGAGGCTAAAACTATAGTATGCGAAGCGTAGCTTGCTAGGCACACCAAGAAAGTCGAAGTCGTGTTTTATTTATGAAAGTCAAATAACTCGAGAGTGGCTAGGCATTTTCAAGCTTCGTGTAATGCCCGTGCTTTTCAAGTAACCGAACTAGTTTTTTTTTTAATTATTACATTGTAATTCTAACAACAGCATTTTCCCTCCATAAATGCTAACTTTTCCCGGTGCATTAGGAAGTTCGCTCATTAATGCGAGGGAAAGCGTGAGTTCACTTCTATGCATTACTTTGCAATCGTTACAATGTCTTTTGGAAGCCTGAATCCAGGTACAGATGATCACTTAAGGGTAAAAATATTGTAGCTCCTCCGAAACGTTGTGCATAAATTTACATCAATGAGCAGCGCTTCATCGCTTCAAATATACGCTATTTAAGAATCATGTCATCGTCTCGTGCCATACCTAGTACTGAATTACACATGATTTTTGTCACGAATATTTAGTGCAAACGAACGTCCCATATTGCCACGCACGAAGTCAGATAATTAATTTGAAGGTAAACGAGTGAAAATAAAATTTCTCCTCGACTTTACATACAGGAGACTGCATAATAGGTCAGAATACTTAGCGAATATTACAAAACGCTTTCGACGTTCCCCGTCAGTAAAATACATCGGGCCTTTAGTCATTCAACTTCCTACGACGGCAAATGAGTTCAGGGAGGACAAGCACATTTGCTGCGGGAACGTGCGAATAGGGGCTTGCCTGCCATGGCGTCCCAACTCGCAACAGCATAATGTCTCAGCAGTGGACATGTTCTTTTTAATGGTGGTGGTGGCGGCAATGATCATGATGGCCTGTAACTATGGCTCACGCCCACTTTAGTGCGTTCTTTCGCAGTAAGTATTCATGACAAAAATCCTGTATAATCCGTACTAGGCCTGGTACAGGACGACAACCTTATTCTTAGATTGCATAACCGTAGCGACAAAGCGCTGTTAAGGGATCTAAATTTATCCATGTGTTCAACGTTCGTTATTATCTTCTTTCTCTTCTTCTTCTCGTTCTTTCTTCTTGTCCACCTCCTTTTGGCAACTTATTCCCTACCCTCAACAAGGCATCTTCCCTTTCTTAAAAGCTGGAGATTTTAGCCTGGGTACTCACTCGACATTCTACTCCAGATCAGGTACTGGCCCCACCATGGTGGTCTAGTGGCTAAGGTACTCGGCTGCTGACCTGCAGGTCACGGGATCGAAGCCAGGCTGCGACGGCTGCATTTCCGATAGAGGCGGAAATGTTGTAGGCCCGTGTGCTCAGATTTGGATGCACGTTTAAGAACCCAAGGTGATCGAAATTTTCGGAGCCCTCCACTACGGCCTCTCTCATAATTATACGGTGGTTTTGGGACGTTAAATTCCACATATCAATCAATTAGGTCAGGTATCCCGACAATTTCAGTGAAAAAAAAAAAGAAGCTGCCAGTTCCAAGTAGACTTTTTTTTAAGGACGATAGTCTTTTTTGAGGATCTTTTTTGAGGACCTTCGACGGAAAAATTTTGGTCTGCCTGTCTGTCTGTCTGTCTGTCTGTACGTTTGTCTGTATGCCCCATTCATAGCTCAGACGGCACCAAACGGCCAACCTCATCCGCAGCATCCACCAATATTGCTCAAGGTTCAGCGTTTATAGTTGTGCGATTGTCAATTAAAAAAAGCAAATATTGCACATATCTAAGGCACCATAACAAATGGTCCATGTTTTGTATGTCTGCCTTTATACTAGAAGAGGCACACACAAGTAACTGTAAGGACTGTAGCGTTTATCGCGCTGCGCTGACAGTGCATCGGGATGCTCAAGAAGGTGTTTTCAACGCTTTGCTACGACGACACGCTGGTGGCACCTGCCCGTCGCTTTGCATTCTACACCTTATCACCTCCGAGACTGGCGCGCATCTTTCTCCACGGTCGCGCACGCCTTCGTTTTCGAAGATAGCCAGATGGCGCTCCTGTCTAACGTGCCTAGATAAGCTTGTTCGCCTCCACTACACGCTCGAGGCACTCTAACGCAGCGCCTTCAGAATACCCTTCACTGATTTTCTTGCGCAGAACATCAAAAAAACGTTTTGTTCACTCTCTCCAGACGCAGGATTATGGTCTTTCGACGACATTTACAGTGTAACATGTAGATTCTGGACAATTCTTTTTCATTATAGCATACTTATTTCGTATTAGTAATAACCAGTTTTCTTTTCTATTCAGTACGTTAGCATAATATTAAGACTCGTATGTATATTGGCTATTAGTTTTTTTAATTACTTAATATTGATCTGATAAATCAACTATAAAACGGAAACAGAATCTTTCAGGACCCCAATAAAGTTTTTAATCCATCCATCCATCCATCCATCCATCCATCCATCCATCCATTCATTCATCCATCCATCCATCCATCCATCCATCCATCCATCCATCCATCCATCCATCCATCCATCCATCCATCCATCCATCCATCCATCCATCCATCCATCCATCCATCCATCCATCAGCATTGACATTCTTTGTTGATTTAAATGTTACAACTGCTGTCTTTTTCTTTGTTTCTATTCCCTGCTGTGCTAAAATTTACTATCTATTCTTCTTTATGGGACCTACAACTACCCTTTGGCTACAGGTCTGATAAGGGTTTCTTCTCAGTATGTTCGACTACTTCAGACTTAATAGAGACCTGGCTCTGTATTCAGTCTAAAACAACAATAGTTTCTATGTTACTGAATTTACGTTGCCATTATGCGAAAAATAAATAAAATCCTCGTCTTTGATGAATCTGCAGGGCATAATCGCTTTTTGACTCGCTTTGCACTTTTGTGTATCATTGTTTTATCGTGAGTGTTGTTTACCTCGCAGTAAACAGAAGATTAGGAAACGAGAACCGGAATTCAGAGATCGATAGCGCTAATCAATATTTCTCTTTTTTCGTGTTTTATTCAGCAGCTGGGACAATGCACCACACGGAGATGAAGGCCTTAGCTCTGTGCTCGTTGGTCCTGCTGCTCACGCTAGTATCAGCTCAAGGTGCATCATATCAGGTGAGAATATTTCCTGTCCTTTCTTTGTTTGCTACCACCATGCACACTTTTTAGGTGGGCATAATACAATAAGAGAAAATTATTTCGTGTTGTTTAGAATGGTAAATGACTAGTGATAAGGTACCTTAAGATCCTTGCTTGTGACGATAACCTTTGTACTTATCTCAGGAGCGTCACATGGAAGCGCATGACCCGCGATAATTCCCTATCTTTATCTTATATTATTCAAGAAAAAAAAGAGATCAATGGGGCACATAATTTCGTCTGTAACTGGCGTGATGTGTACCATAATTTAGTGTTTATTGGTAATAAAAACTCGTGTGGTCGCTTGGGCTTCCTTCAATTCGAAAGCCAAAATCACCTTCTTTTTCTTCCAAGTTAATGTGCTGAACTTCCCGCACACCTCCCTCAGAAACATTTCTGCAAATAGCGTGGTTTTGCAACGCATCCAAAATCAGGAGTCATTGCAAGTGTTCTGCACATCATCTTGCTTCAACGTGGCTTCTGAGATCACACCACCTGTCACCAAGCAACGATGTCGTGTGATGACGTCACTATATGAACCGTGTTACGTGCACGTCACAGTGACGTCACAATGACTTCATAAAATCTAGGTACTTCGTTGTGACGTCATACGGTGAACGTCACCACGTGATAATTTGGTGCATCACTCGTCGTGACCGCGGATGTATATGAGAGATGCGGAGAATCATCACGGGGTGTTTGGAACGCAAGACGAATCAGCGATATTGCAAATCGTCATCAGGAAGCAAAACGAACCATCATTTTGCGTTTGATGGGACATCTGAGACTTTCGCCTTAATAAAAAGTATTGCTTTGAAAGTCCCTCGCCGCCAGTCACTGGAACTGTGAATCGAACAACGTTTCGCGAACCATTGATAAGCAAGACGTGTTCTATATTCTTTAATGTTTTAACTAATGGTCTGCAGAAACTATTTTTATGTAAGTAATAAAAAAAACCTGCATTTTAACTAACGAGAATGCAGTCTGAAAACGAAAAAAAAGTTGAGCTCTCTGTTCTTGAATGTAAGAAAAAAAGCTCACTGCAAAGACGCGTTTGCAAGAGGCAGCAGAATGGAGCTACGCTAATGAAGAGCAGATAGCGTATATATTACAGCACCTCTTTCTCTGTTTATACCAAGAATAAAATCAAGCCCTGCCTAGCACATCACTATATCATTGACACTTCGCAATGATTAATTATTCTACGACTTAAAACCTCTAAAACAGCGAAGCGACAGACGAAGATTATCATCAGGCCTGAATGTACTTCTTTTCGGACAGGAATTGTTCAGTTCTTCGGCGCGAAAATGGCTTGGCCAAAATGCCGCGCAAAGATGAAAGCCTTCAACTGATTATCGTAGATCAATGCGTAGGCTTTGAAGCCAAATTTGAAGCCAAGTCATCCGTGGCGAATTTCCTGGCAAAAAGAAGAAGGACTTAAGGTCTACAAACCAGTTACTGGAAAACGGAATTCCCTTTTGAAATGACCCGGTTATGGGTTTAAGCAGAGATGAACCAGGCATGAGCTGAATATTATTGCCGTGTTGCCGAAGGAAGCTTTGAAATAACATGATAATAGTAGGTGTAATTACAAAGACTCTGGTGGAGAGAGTCACTTCCTTTCAGAGTTAGTCCTCAACGGTGTCAACTGCTGAGCATGAGGTCGCGGGTTCTATACTCGGTAGTGAAACTACGAGAACACTCATATGGGCATTAATGATCCTCAGATGCTAAAATGCAGATACCTAATTTGCTTTAAATTAACGGGCCTAACTGAACATAATGTTACGGGAAGATTTGTTCTGTAGGAGCTGATGTCGCTATCGCTTAAAGAGCACACAATATTGCAGGTCAACAGGGCAGCTCGAGAGACCGATTCACTACAACAACGTTTTCGTCCTCCTCCACTAGATGTCATTTCAGCGCCTGGGCCGGCGCTGATATGACATCCAGGCTATAGAAGGACGGAGATATCAACTACGAGGCTACGATGCTGAGTCTCCCCCGTGAATTTTCATCTACACAGGTCTGGTCTGGCCCATAGTCTGCCTCAATTCCTCCACTGCAACGAGAGTGAATCTCTGCATCATTTCCTGTTAACATGCGGTGTGATTAGAAAAAGTGGTTAACGATTTAGATTACTAGGTACTCTACTATGGGAGAGCATATAGCCGTCCAGGTTATTTGCAAATCAAAGAAAAAGACTTTTTGAAGAACCTTTCCATAGGATAGTCCTTTCCTTTGGAGCAAGTGAAAAGGGATTTAGCCACAGGATCGTTCGCAAAGCCGTGTGCGATTTTATAAAGGTAACAAAACGAATATAATGATTAGCTTATGTATGAATTAACTTTATTTTCAACCACATTAGCTTGTTTGGTTTCCTTTTTTTGTTACCTCTATTTATTCTATTTATAATTCATGGTTTACCAATCTGTTCTTTGTTAAAACATCCTTGTCTAAACATCCCATCTGGTAAAACGATTTTATCGCGAAGAGGAGGTGCCATTCGTTTCATGGCCGATCACCCGTGGTGGGTTGCGCCAGACTCTGACGAATCAACCAACCAACCGGTCAGCTTGTGCCGGAGTGACAGTTACATACGCGTGACAATATTTTGACATCAAAAAATGATGACATCGCATAGTTTTTGTTTTCATAAAAAATTAACAAACCATATTGAAGCTCTCACTAGGCGGCAGTTAATTGTCAGGGCGTTACTTTTGAAGTTTTATGCGTCATTCGGCCCCTCTCAGCTATATGTTCTCGAAAGTAGCTTGTTGCTGCAGTATCTTTCCACCTTTCTTTCCCTCCTTCGATCCAGGGTGGAGTGTCAGAAAATTATCTTTGCATGTAAACTTCCCGTCTTTACCATGTGCTCTCTCTCCCTGTTGCTCTGTATACAGAACGCGTGAAAAAAGAATAAGTAGGCAACAGAAACAAACCCTCGCACGTACTCTACTGACAATGTAGTTTTTTTTTTCTGCAATGTTTATTAATGTTTCCTACCAACGTCTATAGGATACAGGAAATTCTGGCAGATCTCATGCAGTGTGAGAATCGATTTCGTGTGAAGCGGTCAGCGAGTATAGGGACCTACGCCACATTTTAAATTTTTCTTGGGGCAAATTTCAAAATGCGGAAGCGACGCTATTTGCGCGGAAATGCCTGACCTGCTGCCTTTCTTTTTTTTCCTTTCCTTCCTTTTTTCCTTCCTTCCTTCCTTCCTTCCTTCCTTCCTTTCTCCTCTTTTTCTTTATTTCTTTTCTTTCTTTAAGTTATTCAAAATTGCGCAACTCTCCCTTCTAACCTAAGGATTAAGTGTTCTTACAGGCTTCGGCCGTCCCCGCGGAACACTGTTTTCGGACGGAATCGGCATGATATTTTCATTTTCTATCCGCGGTTCGTCAGCCCAGCCCGTCCCCTTAGGGGAGGAGTTGGTCAGCTCCTAGAACGGCCCGTCGAAATGATCAGCGCACGATCATGGAAACATGGATTCGAGAATTCGATTACCTCGAACTTTGAATTTCCCTTAAGGGACGCAATTTCTCGTATCATTCTTACGTGCATTGTCCGGCAAACCGCATTCAATTCGACAGTGCGAAATATTTAAACAAAGCGCCCATGGCAGGTGAACTGTATCTCAATTGTTTATTAAGTGCGGAGCAGAGCTTTAGAGGAGCATACTGTCGTATTTATTCGTCATCGCTTGGCGTAAGGAAGGCGAAATTGCGTATAGTACTGCCAGCTGTAGCACACTGAGCACTCGCTCGCGTCAAAAAGCATTCTTCTTTTTTCTATTTCAATAGGAACAATCGTTCTTCGAGCGCCTTGATGATGAAATAATTGTGGACATTGTCAGTGTTGCTAGGCAAGTACGTCAACACAAACCAACTGTGAAAATTGACAAAGGGAACAGGCTGAGAAAGAGAGAGAAAAAGAAAGACAAAAGGAGGAAGAAAATAGCAATACATAGGAATAAAGAGGAAACAAAGAAAAAAACCTAGCTAGAAAATACAAGAAAGAAAGAGAAGGGTAAAAAAAGAAAAAAAAACGAACAAAGAAAGCTGTCCCGCTCCGCACTTACTTCAAGCATTTGTATTCTTCAGTTCAGTTCACCCTTTGCAAGCCAATTTCATCTCGAAGATAAGGTACCATTCGTTTCATGGCCGATCCCCCATGGTGGGTTGCGCCAGACCATGAGGAACAACCAACCAACCGACCAGCCTGTGCCGTAGTGACAGTTCCATACGCGTGACAATACTTTGGCATGAAAATGATGACAATGCATAGTTTCTGTTTCATAAAAAAGTGAACAAACTATTTTGAAGCTCTTACTAAGCGGCAGGCCCGTGTCCTGGTGTTCTACAAACCTGCTTTCTCACAGTAAGGAGTACAGCCGGTTCAAAACGAAGCCCGTAAAAAAAAAACGATTTTTCTTTATTAATTCTTTGGCGCACGCCAGCTGAGAGCGATCAGACTTTTGGGAACCCCACCTTCGCAGGTCAGTCAAATTGAGCTCTTTAGCGCAACGACAATAATAGAAGCCTCATTCGAAAACTTTTTCCACCACCGAGTAAGCATAATAATGCCTTCCTGCACGTGTCCCTAACCGGGCGCTCACTTCTAGCTCCTCTCACTTCTAACCCTCGAACCTCGAATCAAATAAACGAACGCGAAAGACGAGTACAAGCAAGGAACGACAAACACGGTCGCTGTTTTTTCGCGCTGTTTATCTCGTTCAAGATAGAAACACACCGACTTGCCCAAATGTGTATCCCTGACTGTCGCACACGAGGAGACCACGTTCTTTGAGCACAGTCCTTATATACTACTGGAGACAAGTATTTTTTAAAGGTACACGTGCCGCCTGCATAGATAAGCCTGATGAAACCGCTATGCCCTTTTGTGAAGTACATTTGTCATTTTTCACGAAGGCATTATCTGACTCTGCGCTAAAGCGTAGAAAAGAGAAGAGGCGACGACACGGACGCATATCACGCGAAATCGTGGTGGGAGAGTAGTGTCAAAATATTATCTCCTCCACGTGTCGAGAGCAACTTGTTTTCGACGATATTTATGACCCTATATAGAAGCAAAAAAAAATTGAAAGCCTGAATAGCAAGTGAGAGCTGGATAAAATAAAAGTACAATAAAAAATAAGTTGCAAGCGAGAACCTTCGTAGCTAGAGTACTTTCTTTAAAACGTCGGGATCGGTTTCAGTCGGCGGACATTTGCACAAGTCTGAGTGGCTGTTATGGAAGTGCACACACGCGCATCAGACTTTGTCGGATAGCGGAAAGAATGACGTCCCCAAAAGTGCGGCTCTACATCAGACGGCGGATATTTTTCGACCCTCGACCATCTTCTCTACACGTGTTCTACTGCTGCTTGTCGAAACCAGAACTGCAACACGTTTCCAACTCGTATATAGAGTCTCGTTCTCGCAGTCGCGAGCTATAAATGGCGAAGTAGAGTCACTAATAGCACCTTGACGCGTCGAGCATTGTCTCAAAGAACATGTCTGTCTGTCTGTCTGTGTCTGTCTGTGTCTGTCTGTCTGTCTGTCTGTCTGTGTCTGTCCGTCTGTCTGTCTGTCTGTGTCTGTCTGTGTCTGTCTCTGTCTCTGTCTGTCTGTCTGTGTCTGGCTCTGTCTGTCTGTCTGTCTGTCTGTCTGTCTGTCTTTCTGTCTGTCTGTCTGTCTGTCTGTCTGTCTGTCTGTCTGTCTGTCTGTCTGTCTGTCTGTCTGTCTACCTCGTGCCTTCTTTTGCATAGTCTTCGCTGCCGTTTATTCCAGGGATTTTAATTACGGCGACGCTCTTTGCTTGATCCTTCACAGAGTTCCGAGGCGTCTGGTGGTGGTGAGGGTGGGCAGCTGGGCGACGTGCTTCTGGAGGAACACATGGGTTGGGCCGACGGCGGAGGTCCAGATGAGGAGCAGGACGCGGCGCTGGAGTCCAAACGCGCCTTCCATGCCATGCGGGGCAAGAAGGACGACGACGACGCCTGGGACTCAGAGGTGAAGCGCGCCTTCCACGCCATGCGCGGCAAGAGGCTCTTGGCACCGGCCAGCGTGGATTCCTTCATCGCCCAGCTGCGTCGCGCCGTGCTCCAGGGGAAACGCGGCTCCGGTTTCTTCGGCATGCGCGGGAAGAGGCAGCTTCGTAAGTGTCTCATTTGTTTTGGCAATATATTTAGGGCGAAGCACCTTAAGGGTAAGACTTGTCCATCCGTATGGCTCCGGTGCGCACGGCTACCGTCGAGACACGCACACACACACACACAAAAAACGTTCAACAATATACTAGTATGAGTGTGACTGAACAATTTAAAACACCTACAAGCACAAACCTTATATACTAGTCAGCAACATGAACGTAGACATTACAGACCTTAGGACCTGTCTTTGAATACTCGTCATCGTTCACTACGTGGAGATGCATGGATTTTATCTCTCTCTGTGAAATATATGTACCACACTTAAAGGCCTTAAGCATTCCCCGAGGACTTGAGCACGAAACAATTCAGTGCAGAACCATACGAGTTGAAGAAAGCTTGCAGTGCTTTCGATCCTGGGGCCAGTGCAAAGCCATGTTTGGGGCAGAAGATTTCCGGGAGGCGGCAAGGGAGAACAAGTTCACCGACCAAGAAAAATAAAAATGTCGCCAACTTGCACTAGAGGAACAGGGCTGGAGAAAGAGCTCAGCTTGGAATCGACATAGTTCTTTCCGACGTTTATCTATGTGCTGCTCGCGCTAAGAAGTTTAGCTAGACAATGCGAAGATTCATTCCAGTATTGCAATCTTTAGCTACATCATTCGAGTGATGTCATGGCACCCACGCACCTGCCGGGCACAGTTAGGTGATGTCGACGCTGGCCGCGAACGTGGCAAGTGGGCCGCGACGTCTTGGTCTTTGCTCGGCAAACGCAGCTGTGGGAACTCAGCTGGATCTGAGCGACATGTCTAAGCGCACTGACGTCACAACTCGGCGCAGCTAGGCGAAGCATTTCCACCAATGATACCCTGGCTGTATAAAAAATGACAGCATATCCACGGAGTGAATGATGGGGAGTGGGGCGAAGCATTCGTCCGTCCATTCGTTCTTGCTTCCGTCCGTTCCTGCGTACGTCTGTGCAACCATCCATGCGTCCATCCACCCGTCCATGAGTGCGTCTGTTCGTGCGTCTGTCCCAGCGTTCGTCCATGCATCTGCGTCTGCGTCCGTTCATGCGTCCATCCATGCATCTGTCTGTGTGTCCGTTCGTTCATCTATTGAGCACTCCAAGTACCACCATCTCGCATCTTTTCATCATATATTCTCCATATAGAAGCACCGCCATCCAGTGGACATTTCAAGGACTAAACGAGAGGTGGCACATGCACACTTTCTTACGGCTTGCGCTTCGGGTTTACTTCCCACCTTTAACCACCTCGAGTTCATGGTATATACTAGTTCACTGTATTCATGGCTATGCGGCCCAACGCTCGCTAAACCTTTCTAAAACCAAGGAGGTTACACCCAGCGAGTATAACGTAGCAACCCTTTCTTGTCCGATTGTGCTCAATGTACATGCCAATAGCTGCTAATGGGGATCGCAGCGTGCGCGTTACCTAAAGGTCGAATACTCCTGTCTCTCACTCCCCCTTAGCAGCCATTACCATGTGCATTGAGCACTATCTTTTATTGTTCAACAACGCACAGAAAAAATCTGTCACCTTCCGGAACCACCTTGGAGGTCAAAATCGTAAGGACCGCTATTTCAGATATGTGCCACTGGTGGTTACGTACTACGAGGGATGCACAAGCCACGCGATAAGGAGCTTCGCCCATAAAATTGTGCAAAGCATGGCGAAGTGATGTGCAGATGGACCAGATGGTTTCTAGGCAACTCACAGTGTTTTCATAGCTAGGAGACCTTGTGTGACCGGTTGCATAGAAAAGGCTGGCTTAAACAGCTCCGCTTTTAAAAGGATAAGGTGGTTTTTGCCCGGGAGTCGTCTGAGGCGACAGCGTAGCCCTGCCACGGTGGTCTAGTGGCTAAGGTACTCTGCTGCTGACCCGCAGGTCGCCGGATCAAATACCGGCTGCGGCAGCTGCATTTCCGATGGAGGCGGAAATGTTGTAGGCCCGTGTGCTCAGATTTGGGTGCACGTTAAAGAACCGCAGGTGGTCGAAATTTCCGGAGCCCTCCCCTACGGCTTCTCTCATAATCATGTGGCGGTTTTGGGACGTTAAATCCCGCATATGAATCAATCAATCAATCAATCATTCAGGTGACTGCGTGAGAAATTTTATCAGTTTTTGGACTTTATGTGCTGCTTCAAGTGTGAGCACAAGTGTGTGTCAGCCCGAAATAACTGTCCGGCTTGACTTCCTTTTTCTGTCGGCACTAGCTGCCGACAGAGAAACGCTCCCTTCACCTCCAGGTAAAAGGGAAACCTTAGTCTCCGCACAGATTGTCAACAAGTGCCAGACAGGCCAGAGGCCAAGCATGGTGCGATAGCGCCCACACGTGAAAATCATTGTCTTGCTTCTTAAGCAAATTTCATTTGCCGTTAAGCAGATCGTCAAATCTCACCCTTTGTGGCAAACGACGTGGTATGCAGAATTCGTCGAAATAAGAATGCCCCTGAAGCAAGCACTTACACAAGGGGACCAATCTGGTTTCGTTAGCGCGGCAACCCGATAAACAAACGCCCACGTGTCGGAACGCTCGCTCCAGCAACGCTCTGTGTGGCAGATAGTCGCACTTTCAAGCCTCCGTCTTGTCCCGAACTGCAGTGAGTAAAAACTTTATTGAACATGTCCGGCGTCATTGAGCGGGGTGGGGCTACAAGCACCCCGGCCTAGGTGACGGCCTCGAGTCCTTGGACTCGGGCGGCATCCTGGGCTTGCCGGACGGCCCACAGTTGATCGGCAAGGTCGTGGCTAAGCAGAGCCGCCTCCCATCGCGCCTCGCGGTTCGAGACTGCCATGTCTACCGGGTTCGTAGGGGACTGCTGCGCGTTACCGGTACACTTCCACAGCATGTGCTGCAGCATCGCTCTGGCTCCGCACGCCTTACACGCGTCGGACGTATAAATGCCTGGGTAGCAGAGGCGAAGGATCACCGGATTCGGGTACGTGTGTGTCTGTAGTTGTCTCCAGGCAACCTGCTGTTTCTTGTTTAGTTTGGCGTGGGGTGGTGGATATTTGCATATGTTCAGTCTGTACTGTTGCGTGATGTCTCTGAAAGTGGTCATGCGTTCCCCCCACGTCCATTCCCGCATCGCTGTCGAAGTGTGCGAGACATCGGGACTGTCGGCAGGCGTCGCAGCTCGGCGTGTAAGTCCTCGAGCCGCGGCGTGGGCAGTCGCGTTGCCCGCAAGCGGAGGGTCCGTGTGGGCGGGGGTCCATACGAGGAAACTGTCGTTCTTGCGGCAGATGTTGCGTTCGTGAATTTGGAGAATGCGGGCCGCTTCGCGGGAGATCCGGCCGCTGGCGTAGTTGCGTATCGCCGCCTGCGAGTCGCCTATTATCACCTCGGCGTCCGTGGTGGCTATCGCGAGGGCTATGGCAGCTTCTTCGGCCGTCTCCGTGTCTTCCGTGCCTATCGTCGCACTCGTGACGCAAGTTCCTACATGATCCGTGATCGCGACCGCGAAGCCGCGGTGGCAGTCGTAACGGGCCGCGTCCACGTAAACTGTGTCTTTGCTATTGCCGAATTTCTTTTCAAGGTCTTGGGCGCGCCTGTTGCGCCGACCGATGTGATGTGTCGGGTGCATGTTCTTAGGCAACGGCATAACGACGATGCGCTCGCGAATACGTCTGGGTATCCCGACCTTTTCGCCGCGCTGCGTATGGTAGTTGATACCCAGTGTCTCGAGAATGTGTCGACCAGTTCTGGTCTTCGCCAGACGTTCGTACTGGGCGATGTTGTGTGCTTCGATTATCTCATCTAGAGTATTGTGCAACCCCAGCTCGAGAAATTTTTCCGTGCTGGTATTGGCCGGTAATCCAATTGCGCGTTTGTACGCCTTGCGGATGGGACAATCTAGTTTGGTGCGTTCAGTCGCCTGCCACTTGAGGTAGGAGGCGACGTACGTTATATGGTTCAATGCGAAAGCATGTACCAGGCGAATGGCGTTGCTTTCCTTCATTCCGCTATGCCGATTTGTTATTCGTTTAAGCAACCGGATTGTTTCATTGACCGCGCCCTCTAGTCTGCGAACGGTTTCGCCGTTGTGGCCGTTGGCGGACAGGCGCAAGCCCAGTACCCTAATGGTGTTAACTTGTGGGATGACAGCGCCGTCTGATGTGCGTACATTAATTTCTCTATATGCGCACTCGAATGCGGAATCGGCGTTCTTGGGTTTACGGCCCCTGCGCAATGGTCTATAGAGCAGGAGCTCCGATTTAGCTGCGGAACATTCGAGGCCAGTGTCGCGAAGGTAGTCCTGCACCACGTCGACGGCTTCCTGCAGCGTTTGCTCTACGTGGCTGTCATTTCCCTCGGCAACCCAGAGGGTGATATCATCGGCGTACAAGCTATGGTGGAGGCCTTCTATCTCAGCCTCGAAATTATTCGAATGTAATATCGGGAGTTCTTGCCTGGTTATATGTACAGAATTCAGATGGTGATCCGATTGTGTTTCTTGATAGGAAATTAAATTAGGCGTATCCGGTACACTGGACATTTCGTCTCACATTTGTCCAGTCATGAATAAGCCGGATAAGCGTACCAGTTAAGCATGACTCAGTGAGAGTCGTACTTAACTGGTATGCTCACAGTGGGTCACACGACTCCATGATAGTCGTGTGACTCACTAGAGAGTCAACGTGCCTCTTTAAGCAAAGCCATATACATAGGCATGTCAGGACTACCTCCAAGAAGTCCCAAATATTCTTTTTTTAGAGTGTATACGTCAAGTCCCTCAACAGTGTTTTTTCTACTCACACCTGCGTTTTTGACTTACTTTTTTATCACAAGATGTTATCGCTTTCCTTTATGCCAAAATCCTTAATATCTGTTTATGTCCCAAAGACATTTGTCTCCCATTTTACTCACACAGCCACATGGTAATGTTGCCTGTGTGGGTATCGACAAAAGCATCGACAGGCCTCCAAAAGAAACAACAAAAAATCAGCAGTGGCTTAGCTCGGCTACGCCAGAATATAAGCCCCGCCGCGGTAGTATAGTGGCTAAGGTACTCGGCTGCTGACCCGCAGGTCGCGGGATGAAATCCCGGCTGCGGTGGCTGCATTTCCGATGAAGGCGGGAATGTTTAGGCACGTGTGCTCAGATTTGGGTTCACGTTAAAGAACCGCAGGTGGTCGAAATTTCCGGAGCCCTCCACTACGGCGTCTCTCAGAATCATATGATGGTATTGGGATGTTAAACCCCACAAATCAATCAATCAATCAATCAACGCCAGAATATACGTAGCGAGAACTTTGGATGTACGGACGAACTAGCGAGTGAGCTCACGCGATTCAAGCGCCAGCCCACTAGTGGCACGTCACTCCAGAAGCTTACAGGCTTTCTCCGGCGTGCCAGCTGTGCGCTGTGTGACGTCAGTGCTGCTCGGGCATGCATAGCACGGCTCTCCATAAGCCACACGAAACTACTCAACCTCGGCCAGTGTAACTTACAGTGCGAAGTTTCACACAGTACCTCATGCATTAGTGTAAGCCGACCCGACGGCAAGTGAAGATGTACCAATCCTCCCCCACAACCCTATACGAAAGCTTCATACATTTCACCTTGTTTTGCGTTGCTTTGATGGTCGGTCCACGTTCCACCAGGCGATGACGTCCCGTCATATGACGTCACAAATTTTAGTGGGTTGTGACGTTACGATGACGTCATATGTGGTGACGTGACGACGCGACGTCGATTTCTCGTATCACTTGCGCCGAACCCGTCGACGCGGGACGCCGATGGTCCATTCTCCTGTTTTATGAGACATTCAGGGCTTTGGCCTTAATAACTAGCCCAAACTGAATAGATTCATTATACAGTTCTATACGGGTAATCCCAGCTAACAAATGTGCACTAAATAAAAGTGTTTTCTTTTTCTAAAGCTGACACATGTCTGCCGTGGTGTCGTAGTCGTTACAGTGCTCGGCTGCAGACCTGAGGGTCGCGGATTGCATCCCCGCCATCGCACTTCAATGGAGGTGAAATATAAGAAGCCTCTGTACTGTGCAATGTATGTTAAAGAACACTAGATGGCCAAAATTTCCCGAGTCCTCCACAACGCCGTCTCCAATATCATATCGTGATTTTGAAAGTTAAAACCCCACATAATATTATCATTCTAGCTGACACGTAGCCCTATAGGTGGTTGTAATCATATTACGCATAGTAAGCCCCTTTTGCCTCGTCGAGCATCGTTTCTCCCCAATCAGGCTTGTGCCTTTCACATTCGTTAAACGCTTCCTCGCCGTTAGACAGGTGTGTATGTTTACCTGATCCTCTTCTTATCTCGACGCGTGGTCGCTCACCTTCGCGCCGCAAAGCGCAAGCCGCGTTTCCTGGGCAACTCCCGATTCGGCCTCGACATCAAACCTGCCTCCCCTGAGGTCGCCGACGTGATGTTTGACTTTGTTTCTCACAAGGTGGTTGCGCGCCCGACTACGGGAGTATACAGTCCGCGTGCTTATCGATTTACCCGCCTGAATACGGGAGTATTTGCTGGGAAAACGCGCTCCATTGTTCGAACGCCACGAGCACGTGCTACGTCGGCTGTGAGGACAATGATGCACAATGGCGAACTCGTCGAGACGGTGCTGCGATGAGCCGACAAGTTGGAATGCTAGATTAACGAAGAATGCGGCCACGAAGGCAGATTGCTTACGTTTGTCGCCGGGAATGAAAGCTCGAGTGAGCGTGCGAAAAGGTGAGAGCTGCACAGAAAACGCCCCTCAATCGCACTTGTTAGGAAGGAAGGAAGTGTATAGAAAGGCACAAGGCAAAAAGCACGAGACTCTCGAATGCAACACCACAGCTTTAGCGCACATTTGTTTAATTTTTGTCTTACATATGCCCCTGCTATTTTGTCTTTTGTTGTTGCTCTGGTCTAGCGCACAATATATATATATATATATATATATATATATATATATATATATATATATATATATATATATATATATATATATATATATATATTCAAACTAATTCAGCCTCATTTGCATCGCGATGACTCTCCTTCTTTTCCAAGCGTAACTCAATATTTAACCCGCCAAGAAAGAAGTTCTTTTCAGTGCGATGACCTTCCGCGCTTACAACTAAAAAAAAAGTTATAGCCAACCTAATGGCTAAGTTTTCAGAAGCTTCGTTTCTTTCCCCGTACGCAGGTAACGGCCAAAAGAGTTCGAGGACGAAGTTCGTCGCGTCACGAGGTCGAAGGTCGGCCTCGGGCGAGCCTGCGGCCGAGGCGTTCTTCTAGGAGATCTCCCCGCCCTCCGCCACCGCCCGCGCCCTCTTCCTGAACCCTCGTGTCCCGGCGCCATTCCAACGTACAGCCGCCGCCGTCTCTCGCTCGCGCCAGTCAAGCACGTCCGCTGCCTCGGACGACGCCCAGCAGACCCGCCGGCAAAAGCCCGCCGCCGTGCAGACGTCCTCCCCCCGTGCCCACTGCGGAACGACCGCCGAAGACGACATCAGAGACCTCGAAAAAGCCAGCGTTTCTCAAGTCGAAGAACGCGGTGGGCTCGCTTCAGCGTCACAAAGCGGATGATTGTCATCGCTGTAGAATCGGTGCACCCGCGATGCTATATAGCCGATGCTTGTCACAAATACCGCGTGTTACGGGTAAAGCGGCCGTCTGCTTTCGTTTGTTTTGGAAATTGTACGCGCTTGAGTGATCTGTTTTGCTCATCATTGTCTGCTCTCGCTACCCCCATTGGTAGATTTTTGGCAGCTGGAACAGTTTACCTTTAGTGGGCGTTTGAGCCGAACAGCACGATACCTACGTCCACTGTTTGGAAAATGTACGTTCTAAAAACAAAGATGTCGTGTTTAAATCCGTGAGTTCTGTACAGTTTTATCGCGATAGTTTGTGTTCAATTTTGTAGCTGACCCAAACGACAGCCAGGAAGACAATGGTCTATTGCACGGCTTCAACGATGTGCGCACACTTATCGACTCAATTCTAGGGTGTCCGCCATGTTCATGCTGCAATTTGTTTCTTTTTGGTCTATGCAGAAAGCAAAAAATGACTATAAACTAAGCCTAACCAGGCTAGCAGTTAGAGCTTTTTGGAGGCTTGAACAGAATTGTAATCACGTAACACAATCTAGTCAGTTCGAACAATTTGTTTTCTCGCTGTGCGAAATAAAGCCACGTGCTATGTCGCATTGCTTGCCGGAGATGTCATGTTGGTGATAAAGTTTCATCACGCCCCTTAAATGAAAAATAGCTTCCTATCAGGCTAACTAATAAAAAAATGTGCACACGTCACCAACACCAAACTAAAGGTTCCATTCATTTGAGCCCTGAGCACCATTTCAGTGTCTGCGAGCGAAGAACATCAAGTAATGATTAAAAAAGACGGCGGTGATCCCCCTGATCATCTGGATTTAGCTTTACATTGCTTAGTGAAAACAAAGGGAGGGTAATTGGGTAAGCGGGGGGGTGTCTTTAAAGCACATCGAGATGAGAGTTTACTAAAGCTTTGACTTCAGATAATGAACAAGCTCATTGCTAGACCTACGTCCTTTCACAGGAAATTGACCAAGGTAGTCCTAAATATGTATAAATACCGTAGCTGAAGGGTTCACATGTGCGTTCACAAAAGCAGTAACCATAGTTTTAGCATCCTTTCATAAAAGATTGTTCTTATAGGGCATTCTGAACTCTCGTTCAAACTAAAGCACCTAAATAGTAGCTCACTTTTTAGAGGCAGTTGTAGCATGGTAAAACTTAAAAGCCTGTAGGATTTGGCATGTTAAAGCATAAGACCCTCACCGTTTTGATTCGACAAGTGCAAACTTATTACTGGGGTGTAGATTTATCGATGGGCTCTTTGTAATATAATAATAGCACAATGATTCGGGATAGAACGCGAGTGTTTAGACAGCATTTCATTTCAGAATGTTCGTACAACTCAGTTCAGTTCCTCTGCTGCTTTCTCCACATACTAAACTACCGGCCAGTGCTAAGGTGTGCTAACGGTTTTTCCCATACCCTACGACGGTGCCACGAACTGTGTACAAATAAATTATTCTGTTCGTGGTGACGTTACGGGGTAATCAACAAGATACATGCTGTTCTGAAATCTGTCGTTCTGTATTGAGAGAAAAAAAGCAAAGATCTAATGGTTGATAATGATAGTTTTTGTATATGTGCCAATAAAAAATAATGAAAACGTGGATCGCTGCGACAAAAGTACAGTTGAAAACTTTTTTTCTTTCGTCCTTCCATAACCTTTTCCCGGAAACCCGGCTACGTCGAGGATCTTTGATGTCGTACGGCGAGAAGTTTACAAAAATTGACAATCGAACGAAACGATAGCAGGTATATATACACACAGAGGCGATGTTCATATAACCTTCGTGTAGTACGACACTTTACTTTCGTCAGTCGTTAAAAAGCTTTTTTTATCTGCCGTTAATTGCGAAGGCTCCACATCCAAGTTTTTTCTCCACGCTCTTTATTTTTAGTTTCTTTTGCGTCTTTTTTCTCGGCATTTATTTCTCCGCATTCTTGCAAGCCCTCAAGTTTCTCAACATGCATGATTTAGTGTGCTAGTGTTTTTTTTAATCATATAAAACGTATGCTTGGCAGCGTTGAATAGTAGAAGCCGACAATGACTGCTACTAAACTAAACTATTTAACATTTAATTTCACAAATCGCCAGGCGAATAGTGCGAGACAGAGCTTACGTATAGAAAAAATCTAGGTCCGATATGAAACCAACCCAAATGTTCACTAAGCGCTTTTATATGACGCAAATGCCCGGTTTAAGGCGAGTCATAAAAGTGAGAGACCTCCCGCACTTTCATTCGATAAGGTGGACCTTAAATTTTACAATTCTTCTGAGCTGAATGCACTGGGGACTTAGTCGCCGAACAAGTTTCGCTCCAGTTTTTTCGTGTTGAATGACGTTGCGCTGCACTATTCATGACAGTGGAGAATGAAAACTGAACGGAGGTGATTCGGAAGCCGCGACTGACAGCACCCACCAATATAGATGTTCGTTTATTCGCTCGCGTATCTCGAAGAATGTGGATTCGCAGACGCTGACAGATGTCCCAGAATGGCCGAAGTTGTCGCTAAAGTTTCGATGACGGCTGATAGGAAAACTCTCGCGTGCACCCAGTGAAGTCAACCTTCGAAGAGTTACTCCTTCAGCCATTACTACCGCCCCTTCGCACACAAACACACCGACACATCTTTCGAAAACAGCCAGACCTGTCTTTCCCTTGTTGAAAAGCGCGCGTGTTTCTCTTCGACAACACGAAGAAGGCGCTTATCTAGCCCCCATTGTTCCAGGGTACACGCGACAGAAGCACGAGAAAAGAAGCATTGTTGTGAGCGTCAGTGATTTAACAATGTCGGGATCAAAGTGGCCGTTGTCTAAAGCTTATCGGCACCGTTCGCTTTTTAAAGCGTGTCAATAATGACAGCTAGCCTGGAAAGTTACGGGCCGACTCAGTTTTTTTTTTTTTTTGAGCTCATGTGCATCGAAAGGGCGCGCCGCCACTAAAGTATGGCAAGCGTGGTTATTACTCCGCTAATCATGCGACCAGTTGTCCGTTGTCTACTCCTAGGGCGAGCACATTTCTCGTTTATAGAGAATTTTTGTTTCGGTGCAGATCTTTGAAGGTCGAGTGGTAAACAAATATACGGAACATACATTTCTATACTCTGCCGGTGTTCGCGTTATCCTCAACAAGCAGTTCTGGTTTGGTTTGTGAGTGATAAATGATCCTCTTGTCACTCATTTGAACAAACAGGAAATAGTTGACTCCCGGTTGCTTACTGCAGGAAATGATTCTTGCGGGCTTCGCTTTCTTAGCACTAAACATCAAATATATCCGAGTTCACGGAAGTCTGTTAGTACCTGTTGGTGACAGAATGCAATCGGAAAGTTCGATGAATTTCATTGAATGAGCATAAAAGTTATAACAAAGTGCTCACGTTCTGGGCCCATACAGGATCATATTAGCCAGAGAATGGGGTCAAACTTCACTTCGAACTAACTTCGCAAACTTACTTAAATTGATTTCCACATCGGCACGTCTACAGACCACCCCATAAAATACTACCCCAGAAAAGTTGGTGTGTTTTTCCACGAGTAATAGTGGCTTGACTCCTTACCTATGAGTTCTTTTTGTGCGGCAATATTAACTGAAATATTAAGTAATCAGCATCTTACACTTTGTCAAAAAAAAAACATTTCAGAAAGCCATTCTACTGCTCGAAGGTTTGCTTTGTATACTGATCCCGTTGTTGTTTTTAATGTGCAGACACTGCGCCGGGGCGAAATCATGAGTGTTCTTGCAAACTGCGCGTTGTACCAATTGTAGATTGCAGTGGCGCCATCTTGCCATCGAGGGCGACACTAACCCCCTTACATATTCAGCTTCTTAGAAACCGCGCTGTGTTTTGAGTTGAAGTTCGCCATTCCACACGTTGACGTGAGCTAACAGAATGGGCCCTCTAGAAACATGAGGAGAGAGTGAAGTGATACTATTTTTGGAACGAAGAAAAGTGTCTTCTCCCCCAAAGCAAAGCCTTGCCGCCTTCTGCAGAACGATCTCGACGTTTCATTCTTTTCTTCGCTCCACACGCGAAAGTATTTTGATTGAGAATGTTTTGACTTGAAAGATCAGCATAACACGTTCATTTGTTGCTATATATCGCGCCACAAATACCACCGAGACGTGGCCTACAAACCGAGTCAGGCGGCACTTCGAGATCTTGTTATGAGGCACAATATTTAGGCACGGGCACGCGTTGTCAAACTGGAATGTGAAGGGGAACAAAACATTTGGGACTCTTTGTACGGCCCACCAGTTTTCGTGCGTGTTGCTGGAGCTTCAAAACACCACGTAAAAAAAGAAAGAACGTTCATGCCTGTTTCACGAATAAGTATATGTAGTGCTACGATGTGGTCACTTTATGTCGTCTAGCACGTTGTTATTGCGTGTGCAACAACATTAAAGGCAAAACGCTTCGCAATAATGTGCACCACAGGGCCTCTTTCTTACACAAAGCATAATACGGACCTCCGCCGTTCGAAAACCTGTTGTTTCTCATTTCTCAGCGACGTTGTGTTTCCTACTTTCAAGCGTGACGTGTTTATTTCTTCCTCCTTTCTTGTATAAAGTGTTTTGTCATGGTGCGCAGTATACCACTACTTGTTTGTACTTTGTTTTGTCAATGTCGCCGGGCCAGTGGGCACTACGTGATTCCTACGTGGAGCCATGGTAGCAGAAGAGACATATCAGTTTTGTGTGAGCCCCGCTGAATCCCACTGCGATGTGTCCGATAACGTTGGCTCCACTGCTGTCACGCTTAAATATATCGCGTGTAAATTAAGCGTACCCGCGTAAGCCAGGAGGAAATCGTACATCTTGCTCTGCATACTACAGTGCCAGCAAATGTTTCACCTACCCCGTTGTGTTCTCCTCGTTTTCATTAGGCTTGCGAAGAGTGTTGTAATTCTCCCGTTCCAAGCTTCAAATAAAACGATCTTCTATTTTGAAGTGGCCAGAGTGTACTGTTATTTATACGGCGGAGCTTAAACACCCCACGACAGCCTGTTCGACGTTGATACTTGTCATATACTCAGATTTGGATGCAGGGGCGTACCAACAA